CATCATCCTCCCAGATGACCAGAGGGCAGCCGTGGGCGATGGCATCGGGGCTTTCCTGCTGCCCTTTGCCGTGCAGGAGACATGAGGTCCCATGCCCTTCCCCAGGATTCCCCAGCCCCCACAGGGCTCCCGGCTGGTGCTGCACCCCCCCAAGGGGGATCCCACTGGAGAGACCCTCCGGGATCAAGAAGCAGGGGCTGAGCTTGTGATAGATCTGGGTGAGCACCATGGTGCTGTCCTCAGAGCCACCTCCAGCCACTAGTCATGCAGGGATCATCTTGGGGTGCTCCTCAGCACAGGGGCACTCGGGGACCACCGCCCCCAGTCTAAGCAGGGCCGTACCTTGCACAGGTCCTGCAGGCCGTACTCCACTGATGAGGTCAGCACCTCCAGAGCCTGCAGGCAAGAGAGACCTTGTGAGCGTGCAGGACCACAGATGGATATGGCAGCCCAGGGGCTAAGGGCACATGTTCTCCTGCCTCCATGCGAGCTCCCAGGTGGGGCATGGGGGATAAAGGTGCTGACATATGGGGGCATATGAAGGTGTTCTGATCTGGTGTCCCCATTCCCAGCCAGGGTGTGCACAGCCAGCTGTCCCAAAACTGGCGCGGACACATGTGGGACAAGGTGCTCTGGACACCCCACTGTTCTGTGCTGAGACCCCACTCACTCATTGCACTATGAGCCAGCAAGAAAGCATCATGCAGAGCATCCCCTCCACCTGCAAAGCACCCTCTACCTCTGCATCCATCCCCACCTTGTCCCTCCCATGCCCATGGTCCCTGCCAGCCCCAGCCCCACTCACGATGTGGCTGTTGAGGGTGACGCTGTTGGTGTAGAGGAACTCGATGACGGCCAGGAAGACCTCAGGCTGAACGTTGCCCAGGATGAAGGGGCCTTGGGGTGGGATGCTGCCAGGGGGATCCTCGCTGCCCACCAATTCCTGGCTGAGCATCCCCCGGAAAGCCTGGCAGCGGCATGCCAGCACGCAGCGGTGCGCAAACACCTTCTGCTGCTCCCTGCCCACCACGAAGGTCACATCGCTGCAGAGGAAAGGGGACAGTGAGGGATAGAGTGCCTTGGGAAGCCAGGGCATGGGATACCCTGGGGCTGGGATAGGGCACGCAGGCAGGGACCGCCCGGAGGCCTGTCCCACCAGGGCAGCACCCTTTGGTTTTAACCCAGGGGCTTTTGCCAGGCACAGAGCGGTCCTTGCTGGTGGCTTCTTGTGGCCATCCGAATGCTGCAGGCAGGGTGAGCAAGATGGGTCTTCTGGAAAGCACAGAGAGCCATGAGTGCTGCACAGAGGAGGGAGGAGAAAGGCCTGGGAGAGCCGGAGAAAGTGGCTTTCTCTTTTGGCACGACAAAGCGGGGAAAGTGTGGCTGCCACCAGGCTCGGCCTCTTTGACTCATGGGCACTGACTCATGGGCTCAGGGACGCAAAGCCTCCAGCATCCCTCCAGTGGGGCTGGCACTGGCCCTCCCTGTACCTGTGGGACAGGACAGCCTGTACTGCACATTGAAGCACGGGGTACCGCTGCCCTGCTCCCCAACAACCTCCCAGCATGGTTTCCCAGCCCTGTGTCACCAGGAAAGGGAGGCAAGATCAGGGGAAAGGGGCAGGGAGTCCCCAGCCTGTGTGCACAATGCGGCCATGACCCATCCATCCCTTCGCCCCCTCCTCCTTTCTTCCCCCATCCCAGTGAGCAGAAGAGCAGAAGACATGCCACCCAAACTCTAGCTGCCATGAGGCTACGCACAAACCCACCACCCAGCCCTCACAGTGTCCTACAGAGGATGTGCCCATCAGGAGAGGCACCTGGGCCATCCCACACGTGTATCGCAATATACACGGCTGGGGAGTGCTGAGCAGTGTGAGCAGAGCCTGACGGATCCTCCATGACTGGGAGCAAAATAAACTCTTCCGTGGCTACGGTTCACAGGCCAAGTGGGGAAAGCAGGGTGCAGGCTGCGGGATGCGGGCTGTGAGATGTGGCATTCAGGCTGCAGTTGCGGGATGCAAGGTCTGGGATACAGGACGGAGGCTGCATAACGCAGGATGGGTGCAGGATGAAGGTTGCAGCATGTGGGACGCAGAAAGAAGGATGCAGGCTGCAGGGTGCAGGCTGCAGGACGCAGGAGGAAGGATGCGGGATGAAGGTTGATGGATGCAGAGTGCAGATTTCAGGTTGCAGGATGAAGAACGAAGGCTGCAGGCTGCAGGGCGCGGGATGCAAAAAGCGAATAGCAGGATGTGGGCTGGGGATGGCCAGGCACTGGCAGCTGCTTCCCCACTGCCTGGTGATGTGGCTGGGGAGTTTTCACTGGGATTTCTCTTCTGGGTGGCCAGAATTTCAGCAGGGATGGGGATTTCCTCAGATAGCATTGGCATTTGTGCCAGACCTCAGCATGAAGAGGACCATACAGCCAGCCAGCTGCCAGGCAGGAGGTGCCATGTAGGTGGGGGGCAGCCGAGGCAGAAACTCTCCATCTCCGGGAGGAGGTGGCAGGGATGCCAGGCACTGTGAGGGGGACCGGCCGGGATGCCGCCTGCCCTCCGGGGTGCAGGGAGGTTGGAGGTGTCAAAAGAAAGCACCGGTGAAGTCGAGGTAGCAAAGGAGCTGAGCACAAGTGGGGAGGGGGATGGCTGTGGTACCCCCCCCTCCCCAACTCCTGGCAAGGGCAGGAGCCCCAGCGGGGGATTTAGCCGGCCCG